TACATATAGAGATGTTTTTGGCCACCTTAGTAGGATGGAAACACATTTTTCACTTGACAATATTTGCAAATCATGCTTTTTCCCTCATTCATTTGCAATGTCAAAATACTTCCATATGTTGCCTTTAGGTTCACCATTTTGTGGAAGGTAAGAAAAGAAAAAGTACAGTTAGGTGGCCATCTTGCAGATGAATACTAAACTACAGTGTGGGTAAGGCTTTAGTGGTGTCAGCCCTAAGTTAATGCTCGATAACTACGAGTGTCACCTCTCTGGAACAAGTTAGTATGAGTCTGCCATAAATCATGAAAGTATGAGTAATAAAAGTTATGAAATATGCTAATACTGCCAAAATGTGGTTTGAAAATCTGAATTTAGGTAAATCTATTTTCTTTTAAGTAAAAAAGTACATTTCCTTTAGTTTCTTTTGTGTATTATAGGTCACCGAACCAGGAGGACTCAGATTCTAACCTCTTTCAACTCTCAAACACTTCAACTTGCTCTTCTTTCTCTTTGTTTTGGCTAGGCTATAAACCACTTCTTATTTCTAACTTCTACAGATACCAATGTCAATGCTCCTACCATGTTTCTAATAAGGAAAGAGAGGCACAGGGAAGTTAGGGCACTTGTTTAAGTTGTTACAACTCCTAAGTGACAGAGCCAGGAATGAGGATATGTTTCATATCCAAATCTGGTCACTCTGTATTCAATGTCCCTGTGGCCTCATATCACATTCTCTAATCTAGATGAGAACTAGCCTCGAGCTCAGTATTTTGAGTGTCTGTCTTGTTCAGCTCTTCAAGATCAGCAACTGTTGCAGCCTTCTTTCACACCACACCAAATTTCATACACACTTGCGAGCTGGGAGGGAGAGCAAAGGTTTTTTGTGGATTTCTCTTTTTATGGTTCTGTGATTATATATTTCTATGCTTTGGGAATCAATCCTAAGACATAATCCTAAATATGGAAAAAAAGTATGCATAAATGTTCATACCTATATTATCTATAACATTAAAAAATTAAAAATAACTCAAATGTCAAGCAATATAATGGTAATGTAAACTATGATACAACTATTCAATGGAATTTTATAAGCAAATTAAATTATGTTTAAGAGGACTACAATTCTATAGAGACAGAAAGACTAGTGGTTGTGGTTGCTTAGGTTGGGAGCGGGAGGGCATGAGGAATAGGGCGTGACTGCTAAGGAGTACAGGATTTCTCTCTGGGGTGATGAAAATGTTCTAAAATTGCTTGTGGTGATGGTTGCACAATTCTGAATATACTAAACCCCAGTAAACTGTATACGTTAAGTGGGTGAGTTGTAGTGTATGTGGATTATATCTCAATAAAGCTGTTATTTAAAAAAAGTAAATTAAAAAGTCAAGGTAAAAAGACTATTACTAAATGGAAAAAATGCTCATGTTGTAATATTAGCGGAAAGAAACAGGATCCAAAAACTTTTGCCCAATATGAATAAAACAGTGTTTAACAAAGGAGGCAGAGAGGAATCTATTCAAAATTGTACACATAAGAAAATGTAGGAGGAAATATAACAAAGGATTAACAGTACTTGTCATTGGGTAAGCAACTTTGCATAATTTTTTCCGTTCCACTTATCTATGTTTTCAGCAACAAAAATACCAGATTTCCAAATTTTCTATAACAAGCATGTATTATTATTACTATTACAATTAACAGGGGGAAATGTAAACCCTGCTGTTGTCTGTGGGTGTCTGGGCTGCCCTGAGGCGCCCCAAACAGGCCTCGCAGCCACAAGCACACGTGCAGGGCACCGGGCTCAGCCGAGCCCATCACTCCACTACTTGTTTGGCTTTGCCACAGTATTTCCTGAGCGGAAGGGTAAGTGGTGCTTTATTGTTATCACCTCCTTTCCCCAGTGACCACCAAGACTCGGATCCTGGTCTCCAGTAACCACTTCCCAGTACAGATGCTACAATGGGTCCAAACAGAGATTATATGGGACCTACGGCCAAGAGGCAAACAGTCATGTAATTCATTCTTCCAACTAATAGTTGTGTCTACTTCACACAGGGGACTGACTGAAGCCTGGGAGAAATGTAAAACAAATAGATTTATGTGCCCTTCAAGAGTTTTCATTCTCGTACAGGAAATAGATGCACATGACAAGGCTGTATTACATATTTGAAAACTGCTAAGACAGTAAATTTTAAATGTTCTTACCACACACACACACAAGTTAACTGTGTGAGGTGATGGATATGTTAACTAACCTTATTGTGGTAACCATTTTGCAATGTACACGTATATCAAATCATCACATTGTACACCTTAAACCTACACAATGTTATACGTCAATTATATCTCAATGAAGCTGGGGAAAAAAGCGCACATGAATGTCTCCAATACGAAACACAATATGACAAGCAATAGGCGAAGGCGAGATCCCTTAGCGGATCTGGGCTTGAAGGATGGGCTGAATTTCCTTTGGGGTGTAAAAGTGAAGGCACAGATATTTCCACAATCTCAGGATGACTAAGCGCTTCCAGAAGCACAAACCACTAAAGGAAAAAGCAGCACGGACTCTGTAAGGAGACGACAGCTAACTGACTGGCTGGCGTTCTCTGCAGGGGTCAATCAATAAGTGAACCAAGGCAGAATCTGCGAAAACAACTTGTGGAGATTTTCTGAAAGTTTGTACCAAGATGTTACCAGAAGCATGACAACCTTAAATGTTATATTTTGAAATAATTTCCAGCTTGTGGAACAACTGCAAGAATAGTACAGAAAACTCTTCTATACCTTTTATCCAAATTTACCAAGTTTTGACATTCTCTCTCAATTAAAGATTGTTTTAAAAGGTTCTTTTGGAGATTCAAGGAAAATGAATGCTATCCAGCCACTAGAAGGCTTCAGTGCTCATAAACCAAAAAGAAAACAGAATCTTACAAATCCAGTTTACTGAAGTAAGTAAGCACATCAGGTCCAAAAGACAGCTCAACCCCCATCCCACCCGCAACCCTCCACCAGGACCTCCCAGGAGGACACTGAATACTTTAATGCCAGATTTCCAAACATGCAAGAAGAGTAGGAAAACAGTGAAACATAAAAAAGATAGGGGAGAGGAGTGTGGGGCAACTAGCCCTACCAGTTATGAAAACATACTATAAAGCCTTGATAATTAGAACAGTGTGGTACTGCCACGAGAATAGATAAATATACCAGTGGAACAGAAGAAAAAGTCTAGACATAGACCCAAGTACACATAGAACTTTTTATTTGATAAAGTTGGCATCTTACATCACTAGGGCAAAGACAGGCTTGTTAATAAATGGTGGGGAATAAATGAGCAGCCCAAAGGTGTTCAAGTAAGATCACACTGCAGATCTGATATGTTTGCAGTCCTGGTGAACTGAGGATGACTTTGGTCTTTCTCAGAGCCAGAAAACTGCAGGCAAGAACTAGTTTGACAAAGGGGCCGCAGCCCCAAGGGGGTTAACAGCAACCGCTGAAGGATCTGACAAGTGTTCCTGAAGAGCTGCGACTGTCCTCTCAACCTGCTGTGATCTGAATGGAGTTCCAAAGTCTGATTCTTTTCCTATGGCAGCCCTAGAGCTTAAAATATATTTGTATAGCACCTGATTTCCATATTATACACACATTATACAATACATAAGCCCCCTCCCTCTCTCTGATATCCAGATGTAATTATTATTATCCTCATTTTGAAGGGGAGAAGATCAAGGGGCAGAGACTTGCCCAGGATCACAGTGTTCAAGCAGCAGCTTAGGGAATCTAATTCTTATTTTTCTATCCCAAATTCTCTATTTCACCCCTCAAACCTCATTATCTGCTCTCTCAGTACCTTCGACTAGAACTACCCCAGACAGACACCTCTCACAAGCCCGATGCAAGAATCTGCTACTCCGTGATGCCAGGACCCCGGGGGGCAGTAACCTCAGAGTCTGACCCACAGGGGTCAGGCTCTTTAGGGGGAGCCTGACTTTCTTCCAAGGGCAGCAAGCAGGAAATAGCTTTCATTCATAACCTTTGGGAGGGTCAGGGTAAGGAAATTAACACTGTTCCATCCTACAATCTGTCAGGCATTGCATTAAGCACTTTACAAGCACAGTCATAGAAATAATGTATCTCCCAAGAGAGATGAAAACACAGTCCACATATATTCTTCTACACTAATATTCAGAGGAGCATTATTCATGACGGCCATAAAGTAAAAACAATCCAAACGCCATCAACTGATGAATAGATAAAATATGGTATATCCACAGAATGGAATATTATTCAGCCATAAAAGGAATGAAGTACTGACACATGCTACAACATGGATGAACCTTGGAAACTTTATGCTAAGTGAATAAATGCCAATCATGAAAGTTCACATATTGTATGAATCCATTTCTATGAAATGTCTAGGACAGGGAAATCTATAGAGACAGAAAGTAAATTAGTGGTTGCTTAGGGCTGAAGAGGATGTGGGCGATTGGGAGGTGATAGCTAAAGGGTATGGATTTCTTCTTTGATGTGATGAAAATGTTCTAAAATTGACTGTGGCGATGGTTGCACAACTTTGTGAGTATACTAAAAACCATTAAATTTTAAACGGATGAATATCTACGGAATGTGAATTATACGTCAATAAAGTTGTTAGCAAAAAAAGAAGGAAAGAAAGAAAGAAGGGAGGAGAGAGAGGAGGGAGGGAGGGAAAGAGGAAGGAGAAGAAGGAAGGAGAGAAAGGAGAGAGAGAAAAGCTAAGCACCTTGTACCACATACCAGGTCAAAATAGCATCGCGGGGTTCTTAAGACATGTGTCTAGCCCCAAAGCCCTCGTTCTAGTATGCTATTACCTCCTTCACTAGTAATGACCATGTCAAACTATTTAGTGAGTGAATCTGACGAACCAAGATTCTTATAAATACAGTGGTTAGGATAAAAGAACACAAAATCGTTAAAGAAACAAAACACAGGTAGTAGATACGCCGCACTACACAGAGCTTCCCTACCTCACAAAGGGGCCCCTTTTTCTGCAAACAGCCTCTTCGCTTATCCATGGGCAGCCATGTTTGAACTATGATCCCACCCCCAGCCACAGCTGATTGGCTCTAGAGGAGGTGTAACTCAAGTCAGGCCAATCAGATTCCATCCTAGGGAGTTGCGTCAATCTGTGTGGCCGGAACAAGGAAACACGGCCTTGTGAGGCAGACATTTTCCGCCCTGTGGACTAAGGAATAGAGGGTGCTGGGCTGTGGGGGAGAAGAATGATGCCAGTGGAAAGATGGCTTTGTACTCCCTGGATCCAATCCACTCTTGAGGCTGGGCTACACTCCTGCCCGCAGGTTCCACAAGATACCTTTACACCCTTGTTTGCTTAAGCAACCAAAAAAATCCCCACTAACACACAGAGTCACGTTCAATTCGTGTTCAACTGCTATGCTCAACTACTTTCCCAAAGTGAAAAAGGAAAGCTATTGCGTGTGAGTTTTAAACCTGAATCTGCATCCACATAGCTGAATCTGAGCAAACTTGAGCTACCAAGGAAACTAAAGCCCTCGTTAGGTTTGCTTCCAGCCTGGAACAGGAGGCTGGGTGTGCTCCGATCATTCCCATTACAATGCTGAGGATCAAGAAGCCCCTTCCCTTCCCTGAGGAGACTCTTTACGACACAGGAGGTGCGGGGAACATCTGAAGTCTTAGTAAGGCTGATGTCATGAGACCTAAACTTTCTAAGGACCTGAACAGCAGATTATAAACATCAGTACAGAAAGATTTGCTGAACCCTTGGATGAAATTAAACAGGACATGGTGTACATCAGAAGGTGTACAGTTTCCTTCCTTCCCAACAAAACTCCACTGAAAAAACTCTGGCCTTATATTGGAACAGACCAATGAGAGGTTACTGTGGGTAAACGAACAAATAGAAGGCACGTGTGTTGTCTTCAGCTCTTATTTTGGATCTCCAATACACCAGAAAGCATCTCCAATACACCAGAAAGCATCTCCGTCAGCCACACACACACACAGGCAGAGACACACTTGAATGAAAAACATTTACAACAGGCTGCATAATCTGAACACCAGAAGAAGTGCTGAGTTGATAGGAGGAAAAGGATGGATGAATCCTTTTCCCATCCCTCTATTTATGGGAGTCATTTCCCTTCAGGAAATGCTGAGCCCCTTCTCCCAGGACCCTGTTGGGAATGACGCCTGCACTGGCTGACCCAGCCTTCCACATCCTCCTCCTGGCCTCAGCAGCTCTCCCCTCGTGACCCAGCCAGTCACTGGGAACCCAGCCTGTAAATGACAGTGCTTCTTAGAGGCCCCAGTCTAGTGAGCAAACTGACAGAGGAAAGAAAAAAAAGATAGCTAATGAAGCTAGAAAAGCCCCTGTGATGGAGAAGCTCCCAAATATGAACACAGCAAGTGACAAGAAGGAAGTCAGAGCTAGAAATGACACCACAGTGGCCCAGGAGTTTTGCGACTCACCTAACTTGGGTCACAGGCAGAAGCAGGACTGTTCCTGTCACCCCATCTAGGGCTCATTCACCTCCTCCACACTCCTTTCCCTTCCCCTGGTGACTCATGTTTCTATGGAGAAGCTGTCCCAGGAGAGCCTGGGTCTACTAGTTCCGTATTCTTGATGAGACGGTTATTTTCCTTTTCTTTTTTTTAAGTCAGCTGAGAAGTCCACCTCCAGAAACCCAAAGAGATCCCCGGGGTTAGTGTCCTTTGGTTTTTTTAAGGAATGGAAATGTTCTTCCTTATTAGGATGTTGAGAAATTAAAAAAAAAAAAAAAAAAAATTTGCCCCACAGCTACCAGGTAATACTAGCCACTGGCTCCTACTGAATACTTTTTCTTCTTTTCTTTTATAAAAAAATAAATACAGTGTTCAGAGCTTCTCTACCCTATACCAGAGAGGAAAAGAGACTCAGTGTTAGCAAGTTAGAGGAAATGAACTGGAGACTGAGGGTAAGACAGAGAATCAAAAAAGACACAGAGACTGAAAACCAAAGAAACAGGGAGAAAATGGTACTTAAACAGTCAGAGCCACAGAGAAGGAGAGACCCACCAAAAATCCCAAGACACCGACTGAGCAGGAGCTTACATCGGTCATGTCCGGATGCCTCTCCATTTGATGCAGCATGCCGGGATGAACTTTTGTGCAGCTGGAATGCATAGAAATTAAATACTATGTCCAAGCGCATATCGTGGGCAAGAGAATAGCTAGAATGTTCTATTGGCAAATACGCCTGGGCTTCTGTGAATTAGAATTCTCCGCCCCCACATATCTGTTCATACTTTTTTACTCAGTTGTCATCCTACTTCTTCCTTGTTATTATATTCCCATGCATCCTCCAAAATCTATCTTAAATCCCAATTTCCATAAAACCTACCCCGGGCACCCCAAACTGAAGATCTTCTCCCCTCCTCTGAATTTCTACAGCACTTCTTAACATATCTACACTAGATAATCTAAATGTGCATAACCTCGTGTTATTTCTTCCACAGTTGGCTTTAGTTGTGATTTATATATTTTTTATTCAAGATTTCACATATTAATGTTTGACACTTCAAATTAAATTGCAATAGTGAATGAATGGCTAACATTTATTGAGCACTTACTATTCTCTAGGCAAGATTCTGCACAGATTATTTCATTGAATCCTCACACCGGCCCTTCTATCGCCTCTCCTTTACAGATGCAGAAATGAAGGCCTGGAGGGATTAACTTTTCCCAAGGCCACAAGGATGCTGAAGGAATCCAGGCTGTCAGACTCAAGAGTCCAGTGCCTAACGCCCACGAGGTACAGGCCTTCCCTTCCTGGATACAGAGGAGCTACTCAGAAAATTGTTACGAGGCAGCACTCAGGCTGCCATTCTGTGACTAGTTTTTCCCTCTGAAGGCTTTCCTGATGTTCATTTTAACCAGACCTCACCTAACAGTAATGCCGAGGAAGGGAGGAAGGCCCCCCTGTGTGATCTATCCCAGCCTCTGAGCACCTGGAGAGCCCCAGGCCCGTGCCTCCCAGGGCTGGGTGCTCGCACCACACCAGAAGTAGCCCCTTGAAGGGAATGCACCTGAAGGCTGAGTTCTGTCCGCTTCCTGGCACGACATCTCTGGCTCCAGCTGTGCTGCCCCACACTCCTCGCTTTCCCACCTCCTCTCTCCTCTCGCCTTCCTGCCCTCCTCTTCCTTTCCTCCCCCTCAGACCCTTTCCCACTCTCTTTTGCTGGCTTCTGTTCTCTTTCTTTCCATGAGCAGAGAGTTTCCAGCCTGGCTCCCGGCCAGCACATTTGGACAGAAGGCAGCAATCTTAGAGGGAGACGTCACCTCCCATCCCCTTTCCGGGGCCAGCACCGTGGCTCCACACGCCCAGAGAGACAGAAGTGGGCTGAGGCTGCCCCGCCTGCCCCCAGTTCTGGGAAAGGGTTTGAGAGAAGGTGTCTGGTGGGGGTTAAAAGCAAAGGGTTTGGAAACAAGACAGACCCAGGTTCAAATTCCAGCTCTGCTACCTGAGAGCTGGGAGACCTTGGGCACGTTACCTTTCTAAGCCTTAGTCTCTCTGTAAAGTGGCGATGGTAGTGGCACCTACTTGGAAAGGCGGCGGTAAGGACTGCACCTGTAAAGCATTCGGTATGGTGCGTGTCCTGTAAAAAGCACTCAACACCTCTTCTGTCATTATAAGCTGAACTTAACTCTGCCAAATAATACTGATAAGAGTAATAATACAGGACTTTGTTTTAATAATAATAATACCACCTCCTCAACTCATCTCCAGGGCGGCTTACCCAGCCTCAACTGTTAGCAAGTGTGATAAAGCTGTAAAACACTCTCAAACATGAATTGCTTTTATGACGTAATCTGTAAAAGTTGGTTTTGGAATTGGAAGGGGAGCTGACCCTCTTCCCTTTTGAGTAGAAGCCGGGTGGTACTAGTGCTCAGCCTCAGTGCCAGACGCTAGAGGGTAAGGAGGAGCCCACCCTGCTCAGTGCAGCCTGCTCATCCCGGCTTGCCTCCCCTCCCACCCTGTTTTCTCGCTCCTCATAATCTGAGGCCCTGTTTCTGTTTGTTTACTATCTGTGCCTGGTGTTTTGTACTCAGAAGTTGTGCAATGCCTGGGAATGTGTTCATTTTAGCTAAGTTCTGAGATATGGGAAATGGTCTTTCCCCTCTGATTTTATTTAGCTAATCGGAGCCAGCGTGGATGGCTTTGAAATGAATCAATACGACTAATCAACGAGCTGAACACAGTACTCTGTGTGAGGTGCTGTTGGGAAATACAAAAATATTCAGTCCCTGCCCTAGAGCTAGGGATAAAAGATACAAACCAATCAACCAAAGGGCAATAAAAGGCGCAATTATCCAAGACAAAAAGACTAGATCAGTCCAGGGAATGCTGACACATGTTTAACAGAAGTCACAACGTGAGATTGGCCTAAGGACTAAATTTGAACTACAGTGGTAAATGTTGTGAAACAGATAGAAACTGGAGGAATTTGGAGACGGGCAATGAAAGTCAGAGGAGTCATTCATGGACTGCTTCAAAGAAGAGGTTGAATCTGGTGGCCCTTAAAGACTAGACTGGGTTCGATAGTTGGGAAAGGAGAGTGAGGCAAGAGCATGAAGAAAGGGAGAAGGTGTACTCCTGCCGGGGACAAGACTGACTGAGGGGACCGGAGCACTGGGATGGGTGATGGGGAACCATGAAGAAGAAGAGGGTTGGCAGACTAGACTTGGAGATGTTCTGAAACTAAGAAAGAGGAGTCAAGGTTTGCTATCCTCAGAAAATAAAGAGGATACACACTGAAGATATGCACTCTTTTGGACATGATAAGGTTAAAATGGTACATTCAAGAGGAAACATGTAGAGTAGGCAGTCAGAAGTAAAGATCTAAGGGTCTACTGAAAGGAACAACCCTGGAGGTGTACATTTGGGAGGGAGCTGATGAACCTGTGAGCATGAATGAGCTTCTGAGGGAGAAAGAAGAAAAAGAAGAGTGAAGAACTGAGGCATGGTGGTGGTGGGGGTGGTGCTCTTATATTGCCCTGCTTACTCAACTCTTGACTCGGTTTCTTTTTATGTTTCTTTATCTGGGCCTTCCAACCAGGAAGGTCTGATGGCAGAACAAGTGCATTAAGCTCCTTTTTATTCCCCTACTATGTCTAGCCCAGATCTTGGTCTGTTGCGGGTGCAGTGTAAATGCTTGTTGAATGAGAAGAAGAAAAGAAATCAGTGATCTCTTTCTCAAAAGACATTTAGGACAACCAAAACAGTATGGTGTCTCAGGTGAAGAGACAAGATTCAAAATACTTAACAAAGGTGTGGCATGGACACCAGCCAATCAGAATGGCCTTATTGTTAACCCTTTAATGGCTAGATGGGTGGGGAACTAGGGGGTCCCAGGAATGTGGGACACTCGGGGGCTCAGGGCAGCAACTGTTTACCAACCAGTACAGAAGCATTTCAGCATTTTGACAAGTGGCACAGATGCATCAGTGCACACCAGTTGTCATGTACATTAGGCAGCTCAAGAACAATGAGAAGAGTGAAATGGCTGTTGGGTGCATCACAAGTAACCTGGGATGAGGTTTCAGCAGATGGTTAGGGAAGGAAGCCAGATTTCAGGGACGTGGGGAGGAGTTTGTGGACCTGCCTCAGGGGCTCTTCCAGTTGCTCTGTCTCCCCATCCTGAAAGCAGCATTCTCCTTCTCTTTCCCCCCAGGCAACTGGCAGCCTGAACCAGGGGGCTGTGTGTATACCTAGAAGCAGCCTCTTTGACCGTTTCCACATCTCTGTCCTAGGCCAGGGACCTTGGCCGTCCTGTGTTCAGGTGAAAGGAGAGCCTGGAATAAGAGCCTCTCTCGGCCCTGTCTCTGCGGTGCCGGATTCTCCAAGTCTCATTGTTTTGGGAAGCACCAAGGAGCTCTCTCCTCTCTGATGTTTTTCCACCCCATAAGACGCATCAGTTCAGCTGGAGGGTAAACAGAGAGCACTGGTCCCCTTTTGATGTCCTGGGAGCTTTTCTATGTTTGTTGATTGTCACAAACAGATGATGAAATGGACCAGATGTGAAAGATGACAGTTGCCACAAGATGCCAAGGAGTTATACTTGGGCTTAGATGACCATACGTCATTCCAAATGAACAGATCTCACCTGCAGCTCAGAGTATTAAGTAGAGAATCCCCCTGATCCCCCAGAGGGCTGGAGACATCTCCCTGGCAGAAGTCCAGAGCACCGGCCAGCTCCTCTGTGTCTTCCTAGCCTTCACCTTGACCAACTGTGTGGCTGAGAAACTGGTCCCACCCCAGCTGCAGGGGACGCAAGTTCTACGTCTCAGACTGCCCCATCTGTCCTGTCTAGTGACCAAATCAGTGCCCTGCAGCTTCCCCCCCAACTAACTTCTCCCCT